TGGAACAATAGTCAACATGCGTTTGAATGTAGGATACGTAAAATATTTTACGTGTATTTTCGTCCAGAAAGTGCTGAATTTTTCCAAGTTGATATACTTTTTGTGCTACTTTTTTGGTCATGGCATGAACATGGGAACTCCAAGTTAGATGGCTGTCAATTAAAACACTGAAGAAGAAGAAGAAGAAGAAGAAGAAGAAGAAGAAGAAGAAGAAGAAGAAGAAGAAGAAGAAGAAGAAGAAGAAGAAGAAGTTTTAGTAACAATATGAAATAGAAAAAAAAAATAAAGGAATCATGAGTCTGACCTAACGTCTGAAATGAAGTCATTACAATCTTCACACTCTCTCTTCTCACCAAAGACATAGATAATTTTGGAATAGCTACTATCATTACCATCATCTGTAGTATTGTCAGCAAAGTTTTCCAGCTCACTGTCTTCATCGGTATCCTCAAAGTTTGCCTCACCATCTCCTGCCAGCCTATAATTTAAAGAAAAAGTCAATTCTGAAATCATTATACTTTAAAAACTCTTTCAGTCAATATTTTTATAAAGTGCACCAAATAATTTTCACATAACAGTTAAGATCATAAATACTGTACAACAAAAACTGACACACACACAAAAACAGGTTATTTAATAGTTACTGAGCAATTTGTGGGTTCAAGGGGCCCATTTTTTTTTTTTGGGGGGGGGGGGGGGGGGGGGGTGAGGATTAGATCCCCTTATAAGCCTGTCATAAAAGTACAAGCTTGTAGACTAATTAGTGGTGTCTCTTTTAAAGTAGAAGTGAATCTAACAGGTGAGGAACCACTAGTCTGCAAACAAACAAAAAGCCAGATTTGTAAAACTGATGTGCACAGAAAACTGTAGTTCTGTAACAAGACTAAAGTCCAAAAGTAGATGAAAAACCAGAACTTGGAGTTTACAGCTGGGGAAAGTTGACAAGAAAAAGAGAAGACTGGCTACTTCAAAATTATATTTTTCTTTATTTTATTCATCAGCTGTTGGTACATTAACCCACTCAGTGCCAACTGTTCCCCGTATGAGTTCCAAGCCTCTTCTGAAGGGAGAACAGAAGGGATTGACTGCCTCCTAACAAAATGTCGTAAGAGGAGAGTAATTAGCGTTTTGCTGATATTGGGTGTGTTGGGATATGTACAGCCTAGCTGTAAACTGCACCTTTCTGTCCTTTCAGATGATAGTGTTATATTGCACTATGAGGAGGCACGAGACTTCCAGTCCATGGTGATGGCGAGTGTGACTAGCAAGACCCGACCGTGTCAAGAAAAGTCTTCCACAATGATTGCATGGGATTTCAGGACTATTGTTGTCAACATCCGTGTTTAGTTCATTTCTTCTCAGATGTTAAGCTCTCATTCTTTCTACAATAATTTCTTCCCTTATTCTCATTCCCTTTCTGATGTGCCTCCACCCCCCCCCCCCCCCAGACAACATAGTCAAGGACATTCCCCCCCCCCATGAGTCAACCTCAATACCTGTATCATTCATGTCTCGCTTGCACAAATCTTTATATCGTAGTAGAGGACGGCCTCGACATCTTCTACCTATCTTTAATTCACCATAATGGAATCCTTAGGAACTCTGCCATCCTCCGTTCTCCAGGTGTGACCCAGCCACCCGAGCCTTCATTGTAAAATACAACACAGCATGTTAATCACCCTTTTAGGAGTAAAGGCAGAAGAAGAAAGAAAAAGAAGAATTCTCAATAATGAATTTAACCCCTTCTGTTTCAGCTGCTTCAAAACCTACACATGGATTAATCGACAGGAGAATTACTTTGGACAGAAAGTTAAGTTAGCTGCATATACTTTACATAGAGCTGCAATAGAACATTGCTCTTCTGATATGGCAGCTTCTGCAGCCTGCCTTGTTCCAAATGTACTGGTGTTACCTTTCCTTTGGAGTAAACAAAGCAGGTCAAGAGAGGGATCATGATGAATGTGCAACATAAGGCCTCTACAATACTGCCCAGGCTATGGAGAGGATGAACTTCATCGCAGTCCCTATTTGGGATTGCAGAAAGTATGAGAGCTGAGCATCTGAGAAGAAACAACTAAACACAAATGTTAACAACAACGGTCCTGAAATCCCATGCGGCAAATGTGAAAGATTTGTCTTTACGTGGGCGAGTCTTGCTAGTCACACTCACCATTGCCATGGGAGTCCCGTGACTCCTCCTTGCGCAATATAACACTATCGTCTGGAACAAAGAAAAGGTGCCAATCAATCAAACCAACACTAGCACTTGTTGGCTGTTGTGGTTTTAATAGGGAATATTTATATTCAGTAGTTCGCCATTGTTTCTTAACAGTTCTATGCTCATTCCATTGTCGAAGTCAACACAACATGGTCTGCTGAAGGTCTTACACCAGAATCAAAAACAGGCTGTTTAGTTTTATAATACCAGATACCAAGAATAATCATTTAAAAACTTAACAAACTGCACCCAAATAAAATGTCATTTCACAGTTTTATACTCAAGAAGAAATAGTAACAATAATTTTGGCATGCATAATAATAGACAGCTTTATGAAGTAATTAATGAAGGACAATGAGGAGGTATGAATAAGAGGAAAAAATGAGTAATTAATTAGCTGATGAAAAAAAAAAATGAAGGAGAAGGAAGAGAAAGTGAAGCAGTAGGAGGAAAAGGAAGAGAAGTAAAGGGTGGGAGAAAGAAGAAGAAGGAGAAGATGCAGGGGCAGGAGAAGGAGGAGGAAAAGAAGGACAAGGAGCAGGATAAGGAGGAGAAGAAAAAGGAGGAGGACAAATATGATGAGAAGAAGACAAAGGAGGAGGAGAAAAAGAAAGAGGAGGTGCTGGAGGAGGAGAAGAAGGAGGAGCAGGAGAAGAAAAAGAAGAAGAAGGAGGAGGAGGAGAAGAAGAAAAAGAAGAAAAAAAGAAGAAGAAGAAGAAAAAGAAGAGGAAGAGGAAGAAGAAGAGGAAGAGGAAGAAGAAGAGGAAAAAGAATAAGAAGAAGAAGAGAAAGAAAAAGAAGAAGAAGGAGGAGGAGGAGAGGAGGTGGAGCAGCAGCAGCAGCAGAAAAAGAAGAAGGAAGAGAAAGTGAAGCAGTAGGAGAAAAGGGAAGAGAAGAAAAGGGTGGAAGAAAGAAGAAGGAGAAGAAGCAGGGGCAGGAAAAGGAGGAGGAAAAGAAGGATGAGGAGCAGGAGGAGGGGCAGGAGCAGGGGCAGGAGCAGGAGGAGGGGCAAGAGCAGGAGGAGGAGCAGGAGGAGGGGCAGGAGCAGGAGGAGGGGCAGGAGCAGGAGGAGGGGCAGGAGCAGGAGGAGGGGCAGGAGCAGGAGGAGGAGCAGGAGCAGGAGGAGGAGCAGGAGGAGGGGCAGGAGCAGGAGGAGGGGCAGGAGCAGGAGGAGGGGCAGGAGCAGGAGGAGGAGCAGGAGGAGGGGCAGGAGCAGGAGGAGGAGCAGGAGGAGGGGCAGGAGCAGGAGGAGGGGCAGGAGCAGGAGCAGGAGGAGGGGCAGGAGCAGGAGGAGGGGCAGGAGCAGGAGGAGGGGCAGGAGCAGGAGGAGGGGCAGAAGCAGGAGCAGAAGAAGACGAATGAGGAGGAGTAGGAGGAGGAGGAGAAGAAGAAGAAGAAGGAGAAGAATAAGAAGAATGAAAAGAAGAAGAAGATTACTGGTTCACTGTTGCAGCTGACATTTCTGCCTGACTGGCTTGCTAGGCTAATGTCAATTCTCTTCCACTGCCTTTTATGACATACTTGGCTGATAATGACTCTACTATTCTTTGCTTCCACTTTGGGACCCACTAACATGTGCATGATTATCAAAGTTGCGAAAAATCAATAGTGTGACTGATTCCAAAATAGAGATCATATGCCAAGTGATTTATTGACAACATGACAATAGAACACATACGCGTGGAATGAAAGCAGATCAAAGCTTGGTAATAAATAATAATAATAAAATAATAAAAAAAATCTGTTAATTGAAATCTAATCAAGAAGGGAGTACGAAAGAGGGCAGATTTAGAGACGGACAGAGAGGGAGATAGAATAATTATTATTATCTTCTATATATCTATATATATATATATATATATATATATATATATATATATATATATATATATATATATATATATATATATATATGTATATACAGTGTGTGTGTGTGCGTGCATGTAAATGTGAGTATGCACATGTATGTACTGTATAAATATATAGAAAAATACATGCATACATATTTCTTTGTAGGAGTATGTGCATTAGAGGGTGTATGCGTATGTGAATTGTATGGTCGGGCATAAAATAGAGACAGTCACAGAAAGAGAGAAAGGCAGAGACGTGTGTATGTGTGTGCGTGTGTGTGTATATATATATATATATATATATATATATATATATATATATATATATATATGTGTGTGTGTGTGTGTGTGTGTGTGGGCGTGTACGGCTAGATCAATATTTTATAAACCAATCAGCACCCGCTAGGTGATGTGGTCAACATCATTCCGGCCGCCTTTACTTCCCAGGACTACACCTGGTACCCACTCAAGACTGGGTCGGCCAGGCAGCCAAGATCATTTAACCACAAAAAATCAGCATTGATTATAAGTTTAAGTATATGATAGAAAGTGTGGTAGTGCTGTGGATAGAAGCATGTAAGTCAGGATGAAGGTTTTGCGTACAAATTCGCATTTAGGCAAATATTATGATTAACCTCTCTTGGAGTCAGCCCACTTATAATTCTCTACGGCACAGCTATTTAACTGGTGGCCCGAAGCCAAATACTGGCCCGTGAAGGCACATGAAGTGGCCTGCGGATCATTTCTAGTTATTCTATATTAATGGTCTGCCTATGCTGGGGCTCAAGTCTCTGGCTTATGACGATATCCATTTTCAAAATGTCGGCCCCTGAGAAAATTTAGTTGAAATAGCCCTGCTCTGAGGGGTGGGGTAGGTTTAAGGGCGTTAAATGTTTAGCAGCGGCAGTAGTAGTAGTAGTAGCAGCAGCAGCAGCAGCAGCAGCAGCAGTAGCAGTAGTAGTAGTAGTAGTGGAAGTAATAATAATAATTTTTATATGCCACATAGCAACTAAAAAAATACTACATTTAAAATACAGAAAAAAACCTGTTAACACGAGCTGAGTTAAGCTGAGTTGAGTTGAGTCAAGAACTGACATCACAGCACTTGGGGCATTTCCATGTGCGCTCTGTTCTCATCTTTAGCAGCCAACGCAGAGTTCCAATACTGATGGTGCCAGTCCAAATCTGGTTATATGTCCGTCTTGCCTTTTCTCTGAGTGTAGTGAGCCGACTAGACCCTTTGCTTACACCCAGGTGTCTTATTCTCTCCTGGCCATAATAATCTTTTTCGACTGATTCTGTTGTTTGTTTTCAAAGGGCCTTGACCACATCTGCCTTGTCATGTATCAATTCAACACACAACTGTGCAGATCCAGCTAATCACTCTGTCTGTTCATTACTCAATATGCC